CGGAAGAGCCTCCGCTTCCTATATATACAACTTCCCGATCTTCTAATAGTATCCCGGTCTGAGGCAAAATGGAGTCGTGGCCTAGCGGGTGACAGTCGAGAATTCCCAATCTTTTTAAGGTTGATGCGATGATGTGAGTCTACTAACAGGGTAGGGGACCGCCGGACAGGCGGGACCGAAAACAACCACACGCATCCTTCCTTTATAAGACCCTTCTAGGACCACCATCATCACATCCAAGGATAACCTGCGACCCAGTCGACTTCTCAACAACCGTTGGGAGAGCGAGAAGGGAAAAAAAGAGAAGGTATAGAGTCTCTCGTGGCCTAACGGCGATAATCGCGACAATTTCGGGTCTAAGATTGATGTGATGAGTCCACTAGCTAGCTTAGCAGGTCGGGACCGCCGGACAAGGCGGGACAAAGACACGCATCCTTCCTTTAAGTCCCCCTTCTAGCACCACCGTCACATTCAAGGATATCTGCGACCCAGCCGACTTCAACAACCGTGGGAGGGAGGGAGATCGAAAAAAAGGAAGAAAAAGTGGAGTCGGAGTCGTGGCCCTAACGTCGACAGTCGGCAATTCTGGATCTCTAAGGATGATGTGATGAGTCCTCCACTAAGCAGGTCGGGACTACTGGATGCACACATAGGCGGGACAAAAAACGCATCCTTCTCTTTAAGGTCCCTTCTAACACTATCGCCACATCAAGGATACCTGCGACCCAGCCGACTTCAACAACTGTTGGGGGAGGGAGAAGGAAGAAAAAAAAAGGAAAAATGGAGTCGTGGTCTAACATCGACAATCGAGAATTCCGGGTCTAAGGTTGATGTGATGAGTCCACCAACAGACGGGAATCCACTAAGCAGGTCGGGACTACTGGATGGATAGGCGGGACAAAAACGCATCCTTCTCTTTAAGGTCCCTTCTAACACCATCGCCACACCGAGGATACCTGCGACCCAGCCGACTTCAACAGCCGTGAGGAAGGGAAAAGGAAGAAAAAAAAAAGAAAAATGAAGTCGTGGCCTAACATCGACAATCGAGAATTCCGGGTCTAAGGTTGATGTGATGAGTCCACCAACAGACGGGACGAGAAACGCATCCTTCCCTTAAGGTCCTCTTCTAGCACCACCATCACATCCAAGGATACCTGCGACCCAGCTGTCAGTGGGGGAGGGAAGAGGACCTCCTCCAACACAGACCTTCTTAATTAAGATCGTTTATTCCCACCCCTGGTATCATTTACCAGCATATTCTAACCGATGATCACTATTCTCGTTGAGTTACGTAATACTCGATTATATACCTCGCGATGAAATCGAGAACCGGTCGATCGTCCCGAGCAAAACGCGTTCTCCAATTAGCGTCTACTGTTTGGACTCTGGCGAGCAATAACGCGCGATGCACGTGGATCAGGATAGACGGTGAAAGGGTTAGACGGATAACAAAAGCAACAACGATTGACTTTCTTACCGTAAGACCAGCCGACCACGTCACCGGTCCTCAGGTTCTCCGTTCTCAGCCAGTCCTCGAGAGGCCTGAAGTACTCCCTGAGCGCTGCCGCGTCCAATCTGTCCTCGCCGATGGCCTCTCGAAGCGTCTCCTGCCACGGCGCCGAGGACCCTCTCTCCATGATCTTTCTGCGAACGAAAAGACGGTACAAAGGTTGCGCGTTTTCGCGAAGCGGAACGCGGAAAACCGGCGTCGATCGGCGAACGCAACGCGTCGGAGCCGAGGCCCCAGTCAAATTGCCGCGAACGAAGCTCGTAATTCGTGCGTTGTTAGGCTTCAACGAGATTACCGGCGACGCTTTCTAGACGAAACACGGTTGCGACAGTGCGCATAACAGCGCACAATGAAAAACTCGGGCGAGGAAAATCGCGCGGGGAATTGGAACGAGAGAAAAATAAAGACGCGTAACGAGCCTTTCTTCCAGCCAGGTCCCGGTGTTTGCTAATTAGTCTATCTTTGGCAATCGACGGTGTTCCAAACGCGTTCGAGTGTGTACTAGAGGGCGCTCGCGAGTTCCCGGTGGGTGTGTCACAACCTCTGCGGCGCATATGAGTTACGACGTTAAATTAATTCCTGTCTGCAAGAACGGACCCGGGAAGCAGGAGAGAAACAACCTTCGCGAGCCGATAAAACCGAATAAAACCGCCAAGTAAGATGGGTTTTATAGCATTCCTTCCGCCCTGACACCAGCTCGATCGTCGATACATACGGTTAGCTGCCCTTTCTAGCGTCAATTCGCGCGCTGATCGACGGCACGACTTCGTCGTAATCGATCGTGACGTGTTCGTAACAACGCCGGGTAATAATCCGGTTGAATTTTCTCCGATACGGGTAACCGGTTGAGCGCGATCGTTTCATCGCTGTCGGCTGGTATAATCATCATTGTCGTCATCGCGGACAACCTCGTCCCGTTTTCGACACGGTAACCGTATTAATTACTCTGCCAGTTGATTCGACGTCCCGAGCCTTCGTAATATCTCGAATCGAATCCAGAAGAGCCATTCCTTGCTCTAGGGGAGTCATTAGCTGTCCCTCGCGGCGAATCGATCGCGAGTGAACGTCGCTGAGGTCGTTGACACGATAGCCGATCGAGAGTGATCACGAGTCGAAAAAGACAATTCCAGAGACGGTCATAGGGCTGTTTAACTATAGCAATAATCACGGGTCGAAGAAATTCCTCACGACAACCCGATGGATCGATGGAGCCATTCGATCCTTCCTTACGACGTCACGGTATCGCTATAAACGAGCAGGACTGCATTTTTCGCCGCCGATCACGCAAGAAAAATCGCCGAACAGCCACGTTACGTGATTCAGGGAGAGTTTCGCTGTTATTCAAGTGTATTTTGCTTCTCGTCCCAATGCGTCGCCTTCTCTCCCCCGTTTTCCCGTTTCCTGGGCCGCCGATTCCTAGACGGACGATTCATACCTCGCCGTAATCCCGGTTATGTCCCCACGACAATGTTACGCGTTATATAAACCGATCTCGATCCGATCTGCGATGGTGATTCGTTTTTTTTTTTGTAACAGCAAGGTTTCCACGAAGAATTGTTAATACGAGACACTTGGATTGTGCAGCTGATCGAAGTCTCCTAGATCATTGCAGATCTTGCGTAAGAGGGTGCACAGCAATCGACGATTCTCATAGTCCTCATAGCGCAATAACTGCAAGCTCGAGCACTGAAAATTCGTCGTGGACCAGTTGTCAGTTTCGCGTTTCAAGTGCCTGAACTACAGACCAGTCGAGGAAGCATAATCGATCCGGAGGAAGGGGTCGAGAAGATTTGGATTCGGTCAAAGTGTCAATCCGGCGGACCTCCATCAGACGGAGGATGATTTATCGTTGTACCTTGTATACATTTTATTTTCGGTTCATAATTTTCTTCGTGTACGTGTTATGAATGTATACACACGTGTACGAAGCGGCATATAAGGAGCGAAAATATGACAATCGATTTCACGAAAGTGAAAAGTGTCGATCAGCAAAAGGTGGAGCAGCGTGACATAACTTTTTGGAAAGTTATTTGGATGCAGGCCACGCTGCAGCCCGCTTCCGGTTCCTTCGCGAGCGAGCCACGCCTCCCGTGGGAATCGAGCGGACGAGCAAAAATATTTCGGTATGCCCCGGTGCAATTTATATCGATCTCACAATTTCCGGTGCCAGCGAAATCGCCACTTTCCTGCCTCGCTCGCCGATATTTCGCAACGCGGGATGCTGGCTGATTCCGCGTATTTAACGCGTCGCCTTGCTCGGCATCCACCCTATTCGTTTACGTGAAGATTCGTCGGGAATTGGAATAAACTGCGAAGCCGACGTCTGACGAGCTCGGAGCACCCGCGAACATGGCAGAGGCGAGAAAGCTCGGAATCGCGTTACGAGGTTAAACCAATCGAAGAAGCTTCCCGTTGCAAGAACCTTCGCCCTTGTGTTGCCATAGCGATATTGATCCTTGGAAATTTTATGAAGGGACCAATATTATCCGGAATGTGGAGGTATTTCCCTACCGAGCCTCGGCGAGGCAACACTCCTCCGTCTTCCGCGATTTCAAGTACAGCTCGGTAGCTGCATTGTCTTCGAGGGTATCTCGGATTCGTTCGGTTCCAGCTAAAACCGTGTGGAATGATTTCCATTCTCCTGTGCACGGTGGAACCGAGTCACGAGCCAGCCACTGTTACGTTCTACGTTTTAAGGGTGATCTTTGACACCGGTGTGGGAAACGCGTGTCATTTGGCTAAGAGGGTTATCGGTTTTGCACGATAGGCGCCCGGTGTTATTTGCTCGCTGCCTGATAGAGACCTTGACAGGCCCACAATGGGATATCGAACGGTCGAGAACGCGGTGCAGTTGGTAATCGTTGCTGTTGTTATTGGAAAATGCGGCGATACTTTTCTCCCGGCCACTACTCGCCGGTTGCATAATTCCAGGCGCTTTCGAAACGCGGCCTAATCGTCGATGCACCGGGCCCAAGGACGGACCCTCGATTTGCATCGGTTTCGATCGATCGCTGCTTAATCGGGTCCATTAAATCGTCGACAGTCGAGTGCACGGTTGTGTAATCTCGAACAGCCGATCGAGGCACCGTGCCGATCGAACCTTTCGCGGTCTTCGAATTCCGATAATTGAAAATTTAATTAGAATTTTAATTACGCGCGCTTGGATCTAATTAGCGATCCGCGGAGTCGTCGATTCTGGCTCGTACACGGTGCAGATTCGTTCTTTTTCCTCGATTGATAATTGCACCCGTCGCGAGTGTTTAATTAGGCACTGGTGAAGACAAAATCAGCGGCACACGTAATAGTGGAACGATCATTTCGACGGTGGAGACCGTTTAATGCCAAAAATACCTGTTTCGTTCGGTCTCGTCGTTCGCATGAATAATAAAAAGCAATTATCACGCTCGGAACGATTCCATTCTCGCCATCCGTGCACGCAAATTGCCTCTGTAATCGATTTGCTAATCGAACGATCCTCGAAAATGGGGAAGGAAGACGGAGCAGAATTTCTATCGATCATCGAATTGCAAATAGGTCGCGGACAAGTTTCAGGAAGTCGGAGAGTCGCGACGAGAAATCTTTCCCTGGATATATCGCTTCCTTCTTCGCGTTTCTTGTCCTTCTTCCTCCACCTTCTTCCACGTGGCGTCGCTCTCTCTCTCTCTCTCCCTCTCGTGGTCGAGAGTAAAGTTACACGGCCCCGTAAAACGGAAGTGCAACGCGTAACAAGCCACGCCGCGCGAGTTTCTTCGCGTAACTGCGTGTACTTACGCGACACACGCGCCTTTTTACGCCACGCAATCGCTTTCGTAACATCGCAAAACGCGAGAGTTCGAGATCGTCCTTCGATTACAGGAAGTCGGGGCCATTGGACGCCGGTCTGCCGGTTGATTTCGATCTATCGATCGGCCGGACGCCGCCGCGGCGTCCATCTTGTCAGAGGAAACGAGATTTCCCGTGCGGCGCATCGGGATCGGCCTTTAACATTTATCGTTAATTGTATTTCTCTGCTCGTGCGAACGCGTCTGGAAAACAGCGGAAATTCTCGAATCGAGTACGCTGATTAAAGATGAAAATTAGCGTGACGTTGGCGACACGTGCAGCCAGAGAAAATGGCGGCTCGTTCGACGGTAAACTGAACGATCGTCGCGTGAATAATTTAATGAATTTCGAGCGCCTGCTGTTCCCGGCGAAATTAAATTCGAAAAAATAAAGGAAAATAAATACACGTATAGAAGGGAAATAAAAGAACGGGCGGATAAAAGAGCGGCACGTTGAAAAATATACGATATTCGATCGGTGGATCGTTTTCGAAAATGGCAAGGTATCCAGGCGATCTTCTTGCGCAATCCGGATTTTACGAGCAAAATTTCATAATCACCCGACGAGTGCGCATTACGCGCCCGGTAAACAGATAATTTCTTCGTAACAGAAATCGGTTGCAGATCCTCCCAAGCGATAGCGACGATTTATTATCTCGGGCTTTACCTTCTGACAGCTGTATCGCTTTTAATTGCTCGTTCCTCGAGATTTCTTCATTCGTTCCTCACGAGGAAACGGCGGCGCACGCGACGCGCCATTTTTCCTACTCCGAGTCAGGATTTTCGGTTAAAATCGATCACCACGCGTGTTCGCGGAATCCAGGAACTAACGTCGAATTGGCAAGAAAATTGCGGAACCGGGAGGTTTCCCTCTCGTTGACCCAGATTGTGCTCACTGCCGGAGGTTGTCGAGGGACTTAGATCGGATCGCTGCGAGATCGATATAATAGGTCTCTTCCTATTGCATCTTCCGCGCGATATCTTCCATCTCCGCGTGTATCCACGTGCCTTATATTCCACTTGATCATTTGTCCGGAGGGTGACTTCTTTTTGAGTCCTTTCCAAGATTCTGAATGCCGACTTCAGCGGACCTTGAAAGTCTAGCTCGTTCGTTTCAATCTAACCCGGTAATCTGGCGTGCCTCCATGTATCTTCTTTTATTAAGAACCGGAATCGATGGCAATCTGTCGGGTGAAAATAGTTCGCATCGACTCGTAGCCGAAGGTGGCGGAATTGGGAGATCATACGGTCCACGATATGCAAATAAATGACACACGATCCTCTACCGTCGAACGCCCACGAAATGTCGCGTAACAGTGTCATCTCGTATCGCGAGTGATTTACGATCCACGGACAGTGTCCGCGTTAGGCGCACTGTTCTCAGGGCCTCACGCATCGCCATCCCCACTCCCGGCCCCGAAACAGTGACGCGGAGGACCGCTAGTGGCGCTGGTGTAAGAAGCTCCTCGCCGTTTAATAAATGTCCCGCGCATTCCTTTTGCTCGTTCTCATGACGGGCCCAGTGAAAGTGCTCGGACGTGCAATTTCTTAGCGATTACGAGAGGGGAAGGAGGGGCGTCCCGTTATTATCAGCGTGACAACGTTCGATGGTTAAAACGTGTAAACATGTTATTCGAAATTTATACTCGTTTTATACGGATTGAAATACAGGAGGAAGAGGAGGAAAAAGGAGTCTCATAGGTTGAAAGGCTTCTGTAGGTTCGCCGATTAAACTTCGCGAAGGACATATCGGACCAAGGTCTCGCGTATCCCCGAAAACCTGAATACCTATTTTTCTCGAGAACAATTTGAATTTTATCCAAATATTTTCATCGAATGATTCCGATTAAGCAAAAACGAAACGAGGACCATGTCGGGATTCAAATTTATGGAAATCGCTCGAACATTTCTCCGTTTCCTTTTTCCCTGGTGTATATATAATTAACGCCAATAGGTGTTTAGTCAGATTCGAGGAATCTTTTCCAACGCAATACGGTGAAACGACTGATAATATCTGATACTAATGGCCGAGTTTTCGACTTTCCCGTAAGCTTTTCGCAATCAACCGTTCACGTAAGCGATCGATGATGCGATTTTACACCTGCGAAGCCATAGCCGTCTCATCTTTACGACGCAACACTCCGTCGTGTCCCCTTATCGCTGCAATTAACGAGAACCCTCTTGCAATATTTCTTAAACGAATATTTATTACGAAAGCAGCTCGAGGTATCTGTTTTCCTCTGCCACGGACGTCTAGCTATCCCCGTGTCGTCATACCGCCGATAATTCCCGAAAATGGAAACAAAAGTAGTTGCTCGCTGATACATCATGCGTAAAGGAATGTTATTATTACGACGGAATAAAGAACTGTGAAATATTTTTATAGCTTCGTTGGAAAAGGAACGAGCCACTCGGCCATCCATGCCTGACAATGTACACGCCGACTGGCAGCCTTGAATTTTAACCAGGTCAAAAAATATCAAAACCCCTGCGACCAGATATTTTTTGAATAACCCGTGAAACCTGTTCACATGCCACTCGTCTGACTTAATCGGGCAAACCCGAAATTTCTGTTTTTAAAATTGCCGAGCAGAGGCCCGTTCCGAGGGGCCTGGAATATTCATAACAAGGATGGTTTATTCAAAAGAGGACGTTTTATATTCCCCGTGTCACCTTGGAATATATAATGATAGAATCTTCAAACGGGGTTCGCCATTTTTGACCAATATTAATTTATTTCCTCCCGTCATTCGAATCGATTTCTTTTCTTTCCCGCGCAACTTCCTTGGGTTCCGCTAATAGGGTGACACGTCGTCTTCCTTCTTTACTCTTCGGAATCCTGCGTTCGCAAACTTTTTCAATCCGCCTCCTACGGGCACGTAGAACGTGGATTTATAGCCGAGCTCGTTATTAAATCGACGAATAATAAATATTCAGAAACGATTGCTTTCGAAATCGCGTTGCCAAAAGAAAAAAAAAAAGAAAAAAAAAAAGGAATAAAAAGAAAGAATTTATATTCTCGAAATTGCAAAAACGAAGATTTATCTTCTCCGAAGCGGATAAAGCTGTGAGATTTAATTAAATTTTCCGTCAGGCTCGTAGGCAGGGGAAACACGCTGGACGCTCGATTTCGTGGATCTGCGGTAACTTTTAGGCAAATAAAGCCCGGGGAAAAGTACGGCGAAATGATCCAGCGACGATCACGGGGCCATGTGGTAGACGGAAAGGGAAAGTACGTCGGTTTCGCAAACCGGAACTTTTTCTATCGATTATTTAATCGTTATACGCCGACCTTATGGACTTTCTATGAACGAGGCCGCGTTAAACTAGCACGATTATTCGGATTCGCGCACGGATCCTCGAGAAATCGTTCAGACACCTTTCGTGCTGTTCCCTCGTCAATCTTGTTAGCCGGAGTTACGTTCGCGTTCACGCTTTACGACACTTTAATGCGGCCTTTGCTGGCAAAGCGGCGCTCGTGCTCAGCTTCGCCTTTTTTCCTCCTCCATTTTCTTTCCTTCTGTCTTTCCGCGAGGCCGTTCCGTCAAATGGGGGGCCAGCTTCGCTAGCGCTGCACCAGGGACAAGAGGAAACGAGTAACGGTTACGTTCGATGTATTTATCATCTCGTTGAGAAAGTCGTTCGCTTTGTTCGCCTGCAGCCTAACCCAAGCAACGACGAGTTGCCTGTGTATCTTTCTGGCAAACGGAAGCATTCCGCCAGCCTTTTACGATGTGGCAAGGCTGTCCCGGCACCAGTTAGGTTAGCTAACGCCCGCGGAATCGCTGTGCAACGTCCGATTATCGAATCTCGGAATTATTTTCTCAGCTACTATCGATATAAGCACATGTAGGAGTGTGTGACTGTATGCGAGCTCCGGTTAACGATAAGGCGACGTGAATGACGAGCACCAGTGATAACTGGAGTCTCGAAACGAAGTGGCGATCCGCTTGATCTTCGCGGTGGATTAACAAAGGGGGCCCAACTTTAACTCTTTTGCTACTACTATACGATTATAATCACCGATCATGAAACGCCATCTACACACGACAGGTGACTATAGTCACTGGTCACAAAAATGAAGCAAAAATTAAGACAAGTGCTAGCGTTCCTCTTCGCAAAGAATTGCAAGCGCTATTGCGATGGTTGGTTTCTCCTCTTTCTTTTTGTTTCCTTCGAAAGACTTGGCCTCGAATGATAAAGACTTCACGATCGTAATGTTTCCATCATTCGCACGATGCTTCGTTCTACACAAGAGATTTCGCGGCGATACCCGATAATCGTAGCGAAAGGGTTAACGCTTTGCACTCGATGACTTTTTCGTTACAGAAAAATAGTAATTCGAAGACCTTCTGTCATAGAGTCGAGGATATTTTTAAAATGGTAAACAGCGAAAGGGTTAACGCTTTGCACTCGATGACTTTTTCGTTACAGAAAAATAGTAATTCGAGACCTTCTGTCATAGAGTCGAGGATATTTTTAAAATGGTAAATGAGAAATCATATGCAAATTAAGACGTAGAATTATTTTTCTTCGACCTTATACACATCGTTGGGTAATTTTAAATTTGGTATATTAATTAACGTCGGTCTTTAGAATCTGATTAAATGGTGACTGATTTGACTGATTAAATGGTGACTCGCCTCTCGAGTGCAAAGGGTTGAAAGGGCAGGTTGAAAAACGGATCACGGAAGTTTTACGCGAATATCGTGTCCAACTGAATAAAGTCAAATCGGTCATCGAGTTATAGACTCGTTTTAACCCAGCCCCCTTTTCTCCACCCCTTACACGCAGGAATGTCCTTAAGTGTCCACTCACCCCAATATCCTGCCAGCTTCCGAGCTTCTGTAGTAGTCGCACCTGTGAAGAGGTCTCCTGGGATCATCCACGTTCCTCTGGCCAGCAGCTTGGCACAACGCGCGATACAGTTGGAACTGAAGGACCCCTGCCACGAAATTCCTGTGAAATACGAGAGAAAGCGAATTTAGCGTTTGCCACGCGTGTCTTTGGTGCTCGTCAAATGGTCAGAGTTAATCCACGGAGAAAAATGTCTCTAGCCTTTCGTCACATTCATCTCGTGCCCTCTTTTTCAGCGATAGATTCACGGTACACTGGGAAAGCCAAGAACCGCAAGAACAGAAATCCTTGAATGAGGGAAATGTAGCCGAGCTTGTCGATCGTGAATCTATTAATCAGCGACGCGTTTAGTGACCTCAAGCGTGGCCACTTTTTGCGAAGCTTGAAGAAATAGCGACGAGTGCTGAAGGTCAGTGTCATCGAGGTCGATTCGCCACTTAGGATTCCTTTCAACGATTCCACAGCGGATCGTGCATCTTCCTCCTCGAATAGATCCTCGCCGGGTGGCGATACGATGAAAGTGAGAGGGCTATAGGGGAGTAGGAAGACGAAGAAGAAGACAAAGCGGCCGTTTCACCGAGACTCTTCATCGACGACGACCTTTACGTAATAAAACGCGGGACTATCCTTCGCGGATCGTTGTTACGCTCGCGTTCCTCTACTTTCCATAGAAATAGAGGCTGCGCCGTGGCCTCACGAGAGCTGTTACGACCGCGATCGCGAAAGTGAGGAATGTCGCCCTCGGTTCTCCGCTGGAGCGTCGATAGTTTCGTAACGACCGTAATTACACCTTGGCCCGTCTGTTTTATAGCCACGAATTTTGGCTTCGCTTTCGCGCGACCTGCTCTCTTGTACGCTTTCGACCATCGGTTCCTCCGGCAAACATCCCATTCGCCATAAAAATCTTCCTCGTCCGTTAGAAACCGAGCTCCGACAAATCTAGCTATCCTGAGATCTCGTTTCATTAGCGTAACCGATTTCCAGCAAGTTCGTCACGAGGTTCCAGCGAATACGAGTTTCTATAAATGTCTCCTCGTAAGCGGCGCGTTAAATCGCTGTCCGCCTTCGTTTATATCTTCGTTACGCGAGCCTCGGTATCTGGCCGAGAAATCGGCTAACGAGGATCACCGAGAACCGGTGCCAAACGATGATACTAATCTGCCATTTCAGCTGGTGCAGAGAACCACCGATCGATTCTCCGTTGGAAGCAACGGAGGACAGGATAGCACAGGATAGGATGGGATAAGAGAGGCCATCCTCGAGGCCCTCGAAAGTTTCTTCCGACGACTTCGGTGCTCGATTCTCGACCGGTGAAAGAGGGAGAGAAAGACTCCTCTTGGCGGCCATTGGGGCCGTGGTCGAGCGACCAACGAAGACGAAATTGGAAGGAAAAATGTCTGCCTGGCGATTACGTAGCCGTGGATTCGCGTATCCTGGCGAATTTTATCCGGCGACCTTTGAGTTCTGCCCACGTGGATTAATCGAGGTAGAAATCGAGACCAGGCTCTGGGAACCGGTGCTCCCATCCGAGTCCAAGGCAAGGAAAACAGCGTGGACGGTGTGTGATCGGATTCAAGGAGAGCTTCTACCGCCATCGGCCGCCATTATTCGATATACGTGGATTCGTCGCTGGAAAACCTACTCGAGACATGTCTTCGAGCTTTCCGATCGCTGATATTTCTGTCTACGCGTTAGATAACAATTTGAACGGTGCCAATCGGATTGGACTTTCAAATCCCGCTCGCGGACCACCTTCCATCCAGGTGGAAAATGATCCGGGACCTTTAGCTCGCATTACCTAATATTCCTACCGAAGAAGCAGCTCGATTTAACCGGCGTAATTTATTAAAACGTCCATGGCGCTTCAGCGCGCAATCCTCTCCGAATAAATCGCTCCTCGAGATCCCGCTCACATTTCGATCGCCAATTTTCTCGATCCACGAATCGCGAGCATCTACACCTGTTACATAACGATCCTAACGATCTCGCAGAGACCCACGTAAACATCGGCCGGGTATTATACATTTCTAATGAGCATCGCGCACGTAGGCCTGGCTCGCGGTGTGCACGTGTGTCTATGTACGCTGAAGAAAACGGAACCGGGGCCAGGCTTGGCAAAAGGGAGGGGAAATCGTGACGTAGGACCGCGTGTCTCATGAAAGGGAGTAATGGTTGCACCCACGAGATCGGCTGCGGATAAATCCTTACGGGTGAGCACTAACTGCCGGCACCGGTGCACACGTAACCGTCGAGGTTGCCGTCGAGAGAGGAAGGACGAAAACGGAACGGTACCAGGGAGAAAGGGAAGAGGATCGAGCGTGCTGCACCGGCCCGATTATTGTGCATCGCCGACGGCCATGTCCGGCTGAAAACAGACAGAAAGAGGGAAAAGGAGAGGAAAGCGAAGCGATGTCGAGTCGTGACTCCATTGCGAAAATTTTACCACAGAGATTCCCTCTCGTCTTGGCCTTCCAAACTTTTCCAGGCGATTCCTCTTCCAACGAAGGTCTACCGGTGTGAGGTCCGGTGTTTGGCACAGGTTGGGGGTCGAAGGTTGAGGACGAGGATAGGGTGGGACAGGGACGCATAGGTGGATATGGGAGACAGTTATTTTAGACGCGTCAACAGGTTGGAATGCCAATTACGCACGGTCGGAAGTTGAGGCGAAGCTGCAGAGAAAGGACCGAGCCGATGCAACGTGACAGGGATATTTTTGTGTATGGATTATTCGGCAGGTTACGTCAGATCCGAGGCTTTCTTGCGTCGAAAGTTGCTCAAAGTTACGTTGCGTTTCGGGCACGAGTAATGCCGCCATAATCTCCTCGAAAGATGCCTGCTCGACCGAATAAGGAACGCGATTACTCCTGTTCGATTGCTCCCTTAACCAACGAGTAGCCCTGAGACGACGAAGCGAAGATAGCAGCAGAGAGAACAGAACAGCCTACCTCAACCTGCTCATCTAGCCCGAAAAGCGAGACTCGCCAGAGCTGCACGAGAGTCACAGAGGGTCCAAAAAGAGAAAGAAACGTCAAAGCTACGTGAGGTGTCCGGCACTCGAAACGACTCACACGCATATCGGGGTACCGGGTATACACATAACAGTTGGAACCCGAGGTGGCCAACAGTGGGGATCCGCGGACGAAGAAGAAAACGAAACTGTTGCCCAAGGAGAGGGACGTTTTCGAGAGGCGTGGGGAGGTGAGTCGTGTGTCTCCCAAAGGGGAGTGGTAGCCGATCGTGGTCGTTCTACGCGAACAAAGAGGTGTAACGTGGGGGGTACGGCGTGTTGGGCCCGGGTGGCGAAGGCGAAAGTATGCCGCGTATATAAGGCGACGAACCGGCGGCAATCAGCATCCAGTTCACTTCTGGACGCACCTGGAATATCTCGAGAGCAAAAATGAGAATCCTGGTACGTGGACGAGTGACACGAGGGGGACGATTATCGGCCCCTGGGAGCCGGCTACCGGAACAGCGGGTCGAACAGTGACTAGACCGCAAAGACACGTTCGTGACGGCCAGTGAATGATTTCTGTCGAGACAGTGCTCGGTTCCCGGTTATAGTTTCCGCGTCGAGGGCTTTCCTTGCCGGGAAATCGTTCGTAACCTGTCCGCGATCGGGAATCGTCCGCAACGTCGACTCGTAGACGAGCACAGAGTGATCTCGTTGACAGCTATCAATAGCTAATCCAGTTTCAGGGAGTTTCCCGGTAGACGTACCGGTGAAATCGGTGGTCCGAAACGTTTCCCAATCCACGACTCGCGCAGTGTCTTCTGGTCTAGAAACTCGAAATCCTCCTGCGCGATCCGTTTTCAACCGGTTTCTCTCTCGAATCGCTTTCGTTTTCGAGCGCGCAGACGTTGTAATCCAGCCTAGGCGAAACACTAACGTTCTGTTCGTGGTTTTAGATCTGCACGACAGCGATCGTCCTGTTGGTTTCATCCACATGGGCCGGGGAGGTCGCCAAGTCGGCTGAGAAAGCGGAGTCTTCTCTGGACGACCAATCCACGAAGAAGCAAGAGAAACGAGGCCTGTTGGGTCTCGGTTACGGGTACAGTTACGACGGTGGCTACGACATCGGAGCCGCTGGACACGGAGGCTTGGAACTGAACGGGTATAGCGGCTACAATGGCTACGGAGGCCATAGCGGCTATGGGGGCCATGGCGGCTACGGGGGCCATGGCGGCTATGTCGGTGGCTACGGAGGATACCTGAACGGGGGTGGGCACGAGCATGTCAAGACCGTGACCGTCGTGAAGAACGTCGCAGTACCGTACCCCGTGGAGAAGCACGTGCCGTACCCCGTGGAGAAACCGGTACCAGTCCCCGTGAAGGTTCCCGTACCGCAACCTTACCCAGTGGAGAAGCCCTATCCAGTCAAGGTCCTCGTCAAGGTCCCAGTACACGTACCCCAACCGTACCCCGTGGAGAAGAAGGTCCCATACCCGGTCCACGTGCCAGTCGATCGTCCATACCCAGTCAAAGTTTTGGTACCACAGCCTTACCCCGTGGAGAAGCACGTCCCGGTACCGGTGAAGGTACCGGTCCCTCAGCCGTACCCGGTCGAGAAGCCAGTCCCAGTGCCAGTCAAAGTTCCGGTCCACGTACCCTATCCAGTGGAAAGATTAGTCCCAGTGAAGGTTCCCGTTGACCGCCCGATCCACGTGCCAGTACCCAAACCTTATCCCGTGCACATCGAGAAGGCAGTACCCTATCCAGTCGAGAGACCAGTGCCAGTTCCGGTCAAAATACCAGTTGACAGACCGTACCCAGTCCCAGTAGAGAAGCCATACGCTGTCCCGGTGAAAGTACCGGTCCCGCATCCCTATCCAGTCGAGAAGCCTGTGCCCTACCCAGTCGAGAGGCCTGTCCCATACGAAGTTAAGGTCCCAGTAGACAGACCGTACCCCGTCCACATCGAGAAGCCGGTGCCTTACCCGGTCGAGAAGGCAGTCCCGGTCCCGGTCAAAGTGCCGGTCCCTTACCCGGTCGAGAAGGCAATCCCGATTCATCACGACCTCGGCTACAGCAACGACTGGTCCGGTAGCCACGGTTATCATTAAATTCGTACGACGATCGTGTCGGTTTGATCGCCGACCGGGCAAACGAGCGGACGGCGATCATGCGCCAGCGACATCAGGCGATCGACACGCAGTTTTAGGTGACACAGGAGAGAAAAGAAGAAATGAACGAGTCGAAAGAAGGACGGAATGGATGGCACGCGTCGAACAACGCATACGCATCTCTTCTTCTACTTAGATCGCGACAGGGGTGGACTTCCGGTACACGAACACGTCGCTCCAGAGGCCGGTCCCTCCGAGGTCGAACGTCGCAGAGCCTCGCAAGTATGGCGGCGCGAGTCACGGACACGAAGAAACGCGAGACTCACCCGTTGCAGCCCGACTTTAGCGATCTTCGTTCGGAAAACAGCTCGCTTATCTCACCTTCTTTCTTTATCTTTTTTTTTTTTTTTTCTACCGAAATAGCAGAATACATGTATTTTTGTACGAATTATAAATATTAATGACGTAAAGAATATGGAACGGAGTGTGTCTTCCTTCACCGAGCCACCTTCCTACCTCCTCGACCATGTCGCCAACAGTTCCGACGATTTCCACTTTCATTTTCCGCATGCTCGACGTTCCCAATCATTAACCATCGTTCTATCACGATGTTTATCACCGGCCAATCCGGATACGGCCCCCCCCCCCCCCGG